GTGATAAGACTGTGATAACACTGTGATAAGACTGTGATAAGACTGTGATAAGACTGTGATAAGACTGTGATAAGACTGTGATAAAGACTTTATTAAGTCTATTATTAACCGTCTGTCTGTCTTAAATATTTTTGCACAAATTTATTCTTCTGTATTAATAGTACTATCACTGTGTATTTATTAAACATTAATACATTTTCTTATGTGTATTATTATTTTCAGATTCCAATCATTGACGAAAAGAATTAACGTATATTGCAGGAAAAGAGGATGTAACTCGGTTACGAAGTGCAGTAAATAATAACATATACGTTATAACATACACAATAATGTATACAATGTAGGTGAGACATATTTTTGTGAAGGAGTACATATCCTATCTTCTTATTGATAATTTCAAATGGACAACTAATTTAACCTTCGCGCTACCGACAGCCATCCGGGGTGACCAAGCGATAAATAATGTTTAAAATCTACTCGAGTTTTTCATTACTATTATTAAAATACATTACTTGTAAAATTCACACTATTATATCGAAAAATCTTGATGAGTGTATGTCTTGTGCAACATAAAAATAAAAAAATGTTTGGGCCATCCGAGTGGCTCCCGGTAGTCCACGTATACAAAAAATCGTTTGGTAGCGCGATGGATAAAATGAATTTTACAACATATATTATATATTTGTATATTGTATTTTTACTGTAAATTATTTGTTCTTAGTTATTTATATATTAACGTAATAAATTTTTCTTTTGAAATATAAACAAAATTATTTAAAATAATGGAGGAATATTATTGAGACCACCTGTATTACATGCTCACAGTCAAAACACTAACAAATTATCATTTAAACTGAATAATCATTTCATGTTATTGGTATTAGTGAAATCTAATATTTATCTTCTACTATCTTTTACCTATTATACCTATTATAAAATAAAGTTTAAAACTATTTAGTTTAAATGTAAAAATATATACAGGGTAAAATTTTAAAATAAAAATAGTAAATAAAAATTAATTTTTGATATAAAATATTTTATATTATATAAATAATATAATAAAAATATTATAATAAAGAATAATTTTTTTATTTTTGAATATGAACTTCACCCTGTACATTTAAACATATGTATATTATAAATAAATTGCAATCAATTTAATTATCTTTTTGTTTTTTCAACCACATTGTTTATGACCTTAGCCTTAATAGATTTTATTTATGAAAACATACAGGTAGGAATACAGGTATAAGGGTAATAAAATTTCAAAATCATTTCAACATTTAAAATTCTTGGAAATTAAAAATCTTTGAATATGCAAAGTATAAAAATTATATTAATAATTTTGTCAATTATTAATATTTTTAAAAAAACATAAATTTTAGCTTTATGTAATTTAATAAATATGAAAATAGTTATATATTTATATGCAATATAAGACATTTTATATCAATTTATCACCCTCAAAAATTATGATTCATAGAGCATTCTTAAAACAATTTTTTTTTTATTAAAAATATTTTTTATTTTTAAATATGAATTTAAAGGATAATGTTGAATTTTTTAAAATAGTATTAACCTTTTTTTAAAAAAATAAATGTAATGTTTAAAACAATGTGAATAGAAAATATAATTGAATCTACATGTAAAGAAAAAGTATTGATCATATTTTATTTAAAAAAACTAAAAAATATTAAATTCTCATTTTTTGAAACGATTTTTAGCACTTTTTCTTTTCGTGTAATTATAATTAGTTAATAGAAAATAAATCACTGACCTTGAGCTGCAACAGATGTCACCTACTTTAGACGAGAATATCTTCTGGGTAACACACACGTAATTTGAAAAATTTCAAACAATCCCAAGACTATATTTTACTAAAATGTAAAAAGAAAAATTTAACACTAAAAAATGTCTATTATATTTATCACAGAAATTTTTTTTTTCAAAATTATTATAAAATCCACACTAAGTGACCACGTCTTTAAAGGTCAATGTCTGAATTGCAACTGTTTTAATTATCTTTGGGATTGTCTGTTTCCAATTTTATTACCTTCGGTTTATGATATTCCCCATCGTAGTACATATAAATATACAGCTCGCATTTCAGGTATAAGGAAAATAAAATTCCAAATTTGTTTCGTCACATTTTAAATAATAGTTGGGAATATTGTAATTTTTAAAATATTATTTCACATATATATAATTGTCTTTAAAATTCTTAAAAAATAAAAAGTAAAAATTTTATGAAATATTATTAACCTCTTCACTGTTACTCTCTAAATCTGAATTAGTAGTTTTTTTTACTAATGAAAGAGTGCGTATTTGTTTACCAATTGAATTAGTAACAGTTTTGACCAATTTTTAGTAAAAAGCTACGCAAAAAAAAACCGAATATATTCTTAATTTAAGTATAAAATATTCTTAAATATGCGCCATGAATATATTCTTAACTTCAATTTACGGGTTTCTCTGTGTAGTAATTCGTATAGTAGAAAACTACTAATTCATGGAGTAAATCGGCTTACTAATTTGAAATAGTAAAAAATATGATTTATTCCATGAATTAGTAGTTTTCTACTAGCAATTAGTAATTTTTTTTACTGAAAATTAGTCAAAACTGTTACTAATTCAATTGGTAATCGAATACTCACTCTTTCATAAGTAGAAAAGTACTAATTCAGATTTAGATATAGTAGAGGAAAAATTGATACTGTGGGCCAACAAACTCTGGTCGACTTATTATGAAACTTAGTATATAAGAGTAAAATATAACTTAAAAAAAATTCAAAATGGTGGATCCAAAATGACAGATATTTTTTTAATTTGTGCGGAATTTTATATAACTTTTTGTATAAGAGATTTTGGGATCGCTGAATTAAAATATGACCTCAAAACTAAAATTCAAAATGTCTGAAATATTTTTTTAAAATGCGAAAATCAATCAAAATTAATATAAGTGGACATTTTGGATATTATGAAAAATAATTAAGGAGATTCTTACAAGACTCCTTTACTTGTTAGAGCCATGTTTAGAGGAACTTTAAGTGGCAATGATTGTTGAAAGGATAATGTTAACGACAAAATATTATTGGTAATAAAATATAAAATAATAAAATTATTAAATGTAGGATTGATGTAGGTAAATAACAAGACTTAACATACTGCCGTGTTTCTTGAAAACACGGCTATACTCATAGAATTTTATTTATTAAATTAAAAAAAAAAATTTTTTTGTTATTAAAATAGCATTAAATTTTTCATAAAAAATTAATGTATTGTTTAAAAAATTTTTATAGAAAATTCAATTCAAACTACACGTAAAGAAAAAGTATTCAACATATTTTAATACAATAATTAAAAAAAAGTTTATTGACATTTTTTTAAAACTTATTTTTTTAGCACTTTTTCTTTCCGTGTAATTATAATTTAGTTATAAAAAATATATCACTGACCTTAAGCTGCAACAGATGTCATCTGCTTTAGATGAGAATATCTTCTGATGGGTACTACACACGTAATTTGAACAATTTCAAATAATCACAAGAATATGTTTTACTAAAATGTAGAAAGAAAAATTTCATACTAAAAAATGTTTTCGTTTACGAAATAAAATAATCGAGCACTCCCGAAGTTGTTCACTTTAAATATAAAATTTTTAAATAAAACGCAAAATGGAATATATCTATTATATTTATCACAGAAATTTTTTTTTAAATATTATATAAAATTCACACTTAAACTGACCGCGTCTGGAGAGGTAAATGCTTGGATTGCAACTGATTTGATTATCATTAGCATTGTTTGTTTTCATTATTAAAACCTTAGGTTTATGATACCCCTTTGTACTATATATAAATATACAGCTCGAATTGCAGGTATAAAGGTAATAAGGTTCTAAATTCCTTTAGTCAAATTTTAAATACTTGTTGAAAATTATAATATAAATTTCAAAAATATTATTTCACTGATAGAATTATATATTTATATTCTTAAAAAATAAAAAGTAAAAAAAAGCTACTTATTCAGTTTAAATGTGAAGATATAAAATATATACAGGGTGAATTTTTTTGCACCGTAGTTAATGGATTTTTTCTTTAATGTCATTATTTTTGTTCAAACTACGAATACAAATAAGAAAAAAAAATTTTTTTAGGAGTTCCGGAACATAAAATTTACCCTGTATATTTGAACAGATGTTTATAAATAAATTGCAATCAATTTAATTATCTTTTAGTTATTCCAACCACATTGTTTATGACCTTCGCCTTAATAGAAATCATTTATGTAAACATACAGATAGGAATTCAGGTATAAGGGTAAGAAAATTTCAAAATTATTTCAAGATTTAAAATTCTTACAATCTAAAATTTCTTGAAAATGCAAAGTATAAAAATTATAATAATTTTGTCAATTATTTAATATACTTTCTAAATTTGAATCAGCGGAATCTCGCTGATTCTCAGCTATAAGTATACCACTGATTCTAATCAGCTTATATGCACTGATGAATTAGTGGAATTTTACTGATTTTTCAGCGTATATCTGCTGATTGGTACCAGTGGTATATTTATCGGTGATTCAAATTTAGTGAGTATAAAAGAAAATAAATTTTTGCTTTATATGTAACAGAATTTAATTTAATGTAATAATTTAATTTAGTCCTATATAAAGGTATATATTTATATAGGGCATTTTATATCAATGTATCACTAACAAAAACTATCCTTTAATAGAGCATTCTTAAAACAAAATTTATGTTATTAAAATTTTAATATTCTTAAATACTAAATATGAATTTAAAGGATAATTTATGTAATGTTTAAAAAAAATTTGATAGATTATATTTGAATCTACACGTGAAGAAAAAGTATTAATAATATTTTAATATAAAAACTAAAAAATTGGACATCATTTTTTTTGAAACGGTTGTAAAATGTTTATAACACTTTTTCTTTTCGTGTAATTATTATTGGATATAAAAAATACGTATGTCTGACCTTAGCCTGGAACAGCAGATGTATCGTCTTCTTTAGATGAGAATATCTTCTTGTAACATACACGTGATTTTAAAAATTTTAAACACTTCCGAATGTACATTTAATTTAAGATACAAAATACTTTATTACAGATTTAAACGGTCACGATTTAAAAAATTTCGAACACTCCCGAAACAAAATATTTTACTAAAATATAAAAAAAAAATTTCAATACTGAAAAATGACTTCGTTAATGAAATAGAAGAATCGAGCACTCCCGATGCTATGTACTTTAAATCTGAAAATGTGAAATAAAACACAAATTAAAGATGGCTATCCTGTTCGTTACAGCAAAATTATTATAAAATTCACAATTAAACTGACCACGTCTTAACAGGTCACTACTTGAATTGGAAATGAATTAATTATTATTTTTATGGAATTGTCTGTTTTCATTATTATAACCTTCGGTTTATGATACCCCTTTGTACAATATATAAATATACTGATTGCATTGCAGGTATAAGGGTAATAAAATTCCAAATTCGTTTCGTTAAATTTTAAATACCTGTTGGAAATTATAATATAAGTTTCAAAAGTATAATTTCACTGATAGAATTATATTTATATTATTCTTCAAAAATAAAAAATGAAGATTTTGTGAAATAGTATTAAAAAAAATTGTTGCAAAATATATTATTAATTTCTGAATCCGATTCGTAATTTTTATTGTTTTCATTACTCTCTAAATCTAAATTAGTATAGTTTTCTACTAATGAAAGAGTGCGCTCTCTAAATCTGAATTAGTAAACATGTTTACTACTTTAAATTAGTGACCCACTTTTTGCATCAGAATCAGTGAAATTTCACTAAAATTATTAGTATCTTTTACTAACAATTAGTAAAATTTAACTAATTCTAAAGCAAAAAGTGAGTTACTAATTTAAATTAGTAAACATTTTTACTAATTCAGTTTTAGAGAGCGTATTCGTTTACCAATTGAATTCGTAACAGTTTTGACTAATTTGTAGTAAAAAAAAGCTACTAATTCCTAGTAGAAAACTACTAATTCATGGAGTAAATCGTATTTTTTACTATTTCAAATTAGTAAGCCGATTTACTTCATGAATTAGTAGTTTTCTAACAAACAATTAGTAGTTTTTTTTATTATAAATTAGTCAAAACTGTTAGTAATTTAATTAATAAACGAATACACACTCTTTTATTAGTAGAAAACTGCTAATTCAGATTTAGAGAGTATTAAAAGGTTTAACACTCTGAAAAAACTACTTATTTAGTTTAAATGTGAAGATATAAAATATATACAGGGTGAATTTTTTTGCTCCGTAGGTAATGGATTTTTTCTTTAATGTCATTATTTTTGTTCAAACTACGAAAACAAATAAGAACAATAAAAGTTTTTTAGGGGTTCCGGAACATAAAATTTACCCTGTATATTTGAACAGATATATATATATATATATATATATATATATACCTATATTACAAAAAGATATCGCCGCCAACGCCGCCGCTGTTCCAAGACTCTGAATATAGCCGCAAGTCAAGAGAAGGGGGGGAAGAAGAGAAGGGAGAGGGGGGGACTTGCGGCTATATTCAGAGTCTTGAAACGATCTTAACCATTAAATTTAGGGTGGGGGAGGGGAAAAGGAGGGGAAGAGAGGAGGGGGAGGCGGGTTGGCGCGTGAAGCCGCTGTTCCAAGACTCTGAATATAGCCGCAAGTCAAAAGAAGGGGAGGGTAGAAGAGAAGGGAGAGGGGGGGACTTGCGGCTATATTCAGAGTCTTGAAACGATCTTTACCTTTAAATTTAGGGTGGGGGTGGGGAAAAGGAGGGGGATGGGGGTTGGCGCGCGAAGCGCGCAGGGGGCATAGCCCCCTAGTATATATATATATATATATATATATATATAAATTGCAATTAATTTAATTATCTTTTAGTTATTCCAACCACATTGTTTATGACCTTCGCCTTAATAGAAATTATTTATGTAAACATACAGATAGGAATTCAGGTATAAGGGTAACAAAATTTAAAAATTATTTCTACACTTAAAATTCTTAAAATCTAAAATTTCTTGAAAATGCAAAGTATAAAAATTACACAGGCACACAAAAAATAAAAAGCTGTTTGGCCGAGACACTACACTAGTCTATTTCCATGTATTTTTTACGCTGAATCCGAAGTCAGAAATATCAGATTGGCTTTTATTTTTGAGCTAAACTCAAAAAACTGCTCAGAAAGAAAAATAAAATCAAAAAGTTAAAAAAATTTTGAATGTCACTGCGATAGTGTAATTCCATGTATTTTTTGTCACTGAATCCGAATCCAACGTCAGAATTGTTAGATTCGCTAAAATTTTTGAGATAATTGCAAAAAAACGCAAGTAACAAAAAACTCAAACACAGTTTTCCTAAAAGTATCAAATTGAGACCAAAAATTGCATCAAATCTTTGCAACGTTTTGATGCACATAAGCTATATCAAAAAGAGATCGTTTTGTGTATCATTTTTAGAAATGATACACGAAACGGTCTCATTTTTTGATGCAAATATTTAATTAATTTATATCAATCATGGCCGAATTGAATCGACTCAAAATTAAACGAATTTTTTTCAGATATTTTGGTAATAGTACAATTGCGGAGACCATTGCACTATTTGATTTGAAAATGAAAATAACAGAAAATCGAAGACAATGTGCAATTCGATAATTAAAAAGTGACAGCTTATAAGCATAACCTAAAATGCATGAGAAAAAATTTGTCGATAAAATTAATATAGCCGAGCTTTTTAGAAGGTAGATGGCAGCACTCATCTATTTTCTTTTTTTAAATTTTTTCTGAATCGTTTTTATAAAAAACAAAACTGATATAAATTGATATAAATTGATTAAATTTTTTGCATCAAAAAATGAGACCGTTTCGTGTATCATTTCTAAAAATGATACACAAAACGATCTCTTTTTGATATAACTTATGTGCATCAAAACGTTGCAATAGAAAAAGATACAACCAAGTTTACTGTGAAATACTCAAAATCAGTTTTTTGGAATTATCTTCAAAATTTGAGCCAATCTGTCAATTCTGACTTCGGATTCAGCGTGAAAAAATACATGAAAATGTACTATCGTAGTGTTTCGGCAAAAAAAAATTTCTTTCAGCTAAAATCGCCAAAAACTGATAAAAATTCTGAATTGTGGGCACAGATATTTTTTTTTACCGAAACACTACGATAGTGCATTTTTATGTATTTTTTTACGCTGAATCCGAATTCGAAGTCAGAATTGACAGATTGGCTCAAATTTTGAAGATAATTCCAAAAAACTGATTTTGAGTATTTTGAGTTTTTTGTTACTTGCGTTTTTCTGCAATTATCTCAAAAATTTGAGCGAATCTAACAATTCTGACCTTGGATTCGGATTCAGTGACAAAAAATACATGGAATTACACTATCGCAGTGACATTCAAAAAATTCTTAATTTTTTGATTTTATGTTTCTTTCTGAACAGTTTTTTCAGTTTATTTCAAAAATAAAAGCCAATCTGATAATTCTGACTTCGGATTCGGATTCAGCGTGAAAAAATACATGGAAATAGACTAGTGTAGTGTCTCGGCCAAACAGCTTTTTATTTTTTGTGTGCCTGTGTTATACTAATTTTGCAATTATTTAATATATAAAAGAAAATAAATTATTGCTTTATGTAACAGAATTTAATTTAATGTAATAATTTAATTTATAGTCCTATATAAAGGTATATATTTATATAGGGCATTTTATATCAATGTATCACTAACAAAAACTATTCTTTATAGAGCATTCTTAAAACAAAATTTATGTTATTAAAATTTTAATATCCTTAAATACTAAATATGAATTTAAAGGATAATTTATGTAATGTTTAAAAAAAATTTGATAGAATATACAATTGAATCTACACGTGAAGAAAAAGTATTAATAATATTTTAATACAAAAACTAAAAAATTGGACATCATTTTTTTTTAAACGGCTGTGAAATGTTTTTAACACTTTTTCTTTTCGTGTAATTATTATTAGATATTAAAAATACGTATGTCTGACCTTAGCCTGGAACAGCGGATGTATCGTCTTCTGTAAATGAGAATATCTTCTTGTCACATACACGTGATTTTAAAAATTTTAAACACTCCCGGATATACATTCAATTTAAAAAACATAATACTTTATTACAGACTTAAGCGGTCGCGATTTTAACAATTTCGAACACTCCCGAAACAAATATTTTACTAATATATTAAAAAAAAATTTCTACACTAAAAAATAATTGAGCACTCCCGAAGCTATATGTACTTCAAATCTGAAAATGAGAAATAAAACACAGATTAAAGATGGCTATCCTATTCGTTACAGCAAAATTATTATAAAATTCACAATTAAACTGACTACGTCTAAACAGGTCTATACTTGAAATGAAAATGTATTAATTATTATTTTTATAGAATTGTCTGTTTGCATTATTATAACCTTCGGTTTATGATAACCCTTTGTACTATATATAAATATACAGATCGCATGGCAGGTATAAGGGTAATAAAATTCCAAATTCGTTTCGTTAAATTTTAAATACTTGTTGGAAATTATAATATAAGTTTTAAAAATATTATTTCACTGATAGAATTATATTTATATTCTTAAAAAATAAAAAAATGAAGATTTTGTGTCATATTTTTAAAAAATTGTTGCAAAATATATTATTAATTTATTAATCCCATTCGTAATTTTTATTGTTCTCATTATAAAAAAAGTTTTAAAAAAAACTACCTATTTAGTTTAAATGTGAAAATATAAAATATATACAAGGTGAATTTTTTTGGCTCCGTACTTAATGATTTTTTTCATTACATTCATTATTCTTGTTCAAATTACGAAAACAAATAAGAATAAAAAATTCTTTTTGGGGTTCCGGAACATAAAATTCACCCTGTATAGTGGAACAGGTATATAAATAAATTGCAATTAATTTAATTATTTCTTTGTTTTTTCAACCACATTGTTGATGACCTTCGCTTAATATAGATATATTTATGTAAACATACAGATAGGGATGCAGGTATAAGGGTAACAAAATTTCAAAATTATTTCAACATTTAAAATAAAATTCATGGAAATTAAAATTTCTTGAAAATGCAAAATATAAAAATTATAACAATAATTTTGTCAATTATTAAGGAGGAGGTTACCGTTCTCGATGGTAAAAACTGCATAAACTTTGGGAATTTTTTTTTTCCATATAAGTAAATAGTTTTAGACATGGGGTTTTTTTATTTTTATTTATCTATAAATACATTAAAAAAAATTCATATTTCTCATAAAGTAATAATTCAAAATGGCGGCTGTAGCTTCTATTATGTAAGGCCTTGAGCGCCATGTTTTATTTTTCGCGGCAACTTCCTAAAATCAGCCAAGTCATCTGATTCAAAAAAAGTTTGAAAATTATTAAATTAGAATAAATTTTGAAGGCTTTATCGTTTTCCTTTTTAAAAAAATAAATTTTTAAAACAAAATGGCAGCTGTTTGAAGTGAAAAACCCTTTTTTCCTGTTTTTTTTTTAACTTCAAACAGCTGCAATTTTGTTTAAAAAAGGAAAACGATAAGGTCTTCAAAATTTATTCTAATTTAATAATTTTCAAACTTTTTTTGAATCAGATGACTTGGTTGATTTGGGGAAGGTACCGCGCAAAATAAAACACGGCGCTCAAGGCCTTACATAATGAAAGCTACAGCCGCCATTTGGAATTATTATTTTATGAAAAATAATAATTTTTTTAAACGTATTTACAGACAAATAAAAATAAAAAAAAACCATGTACAGAACTATTTTCTTATATGAAAAAAAAAAAATTTCCAAAGTTTATGCATATTTCGCCATCCAGAACGGTTGCCTTCCCTTTATATTTAAAAAAAAACTTTAATTTTCGCTTTATGTACCGTGGATGTCCCAGTTACCGTCCACCTAAGACCTAGTTTCCGTCCAGTTTAATTTTCAAAATAACATTTAAAAAAAAATTATTTTCTTTTATTTGTTTACTTAAACTAATAAGTCGATTGCGTGCCAAAAGGAATAAATTATTGTTAAAAAATAATTTAAATTACTATAAGAGATATTTGTAAAATGGACGGAAACTGGGACATGGACGGTAACTGGTACATCCACGGTAATTTTAACAAAAAATATGTAAATAATTGAATCCTTGATAGCGCATTCTTAAAACAATTTTTATTTTATAAAAAATATTTTTAAATATTAAATATGAATTTGAATGATGATTTTGTATTTTTGAAGATAGAATTAACCTTTTTGTGAAAAAAAAAATTAATATGATTTTTAAAAAAATTTGAATAGAAAATACAATTGAATCTATACGTAAAGAAAAAGTATTAATTATATTTTATTAAAAAAAGTAAAAAATTCATCATGATTTAAAATGATATTAAAATATTTGTAACACTTTTTCGTTTCGTGTAATTTTTATTGGTTTTAAAAAATATATATCTCTGACCTTAGGCTGCAACAGATGTATTATCTTCTTTGGACAGTAAAATCTTCTGGTAACGCACACATAATTTTAAAAATTTTTAACGTCTTTGAAGGTCAATGCTTGAATTGCAACTGATTTAATTATCTTTGGGATTATCTGTTTCCATTTTTATAACCTTCGGTTTATGATAACCCCTTTGTAATATATATATATATATATATATATATATATATAAATATACAATTCGCATTACAGGTATAAGGGTATTAAAATTCCAAATTCGTTTCGTCACATTTTAAATACTTACTGAAAATTATAATTCTTAAAATATTATTTCACTGATAGAATATTATATTTATAGAATTCTTAAAAAATAAAAAGTGAAGATTTTGTGAAATATTATTTTTAAAAATAATTTTTTTGATAGTATATAGTTTAAAATATAATATTAGTTACAAGCAAGTAAAAGATTATATGTCTGCCATTTTGAATTGTTTAAATCTATACTGAAATTAAGATTAAACGACTCCAAAAACCTTTAATAAATATAATTATTTTTTTTTGAAACTTTTTTTTGGACCATTTTTAGGGCCCACAAACGATTTTCCCATTAGATTGCAAATAGGTTATAATTTATAGAAATAAAAAAATGTAAAAACTGTCATTTAATATAAAAATTATGTCACAGAATAATATAATAATAATTATAAATAAAAATAATGTCACAAAATAATATAATATAATAAATTTTTGATTAGTTTTAATCTTCAGCGGCATATACACACATAGGAAAGGCTTTATTGGACCAATGCTCAGAACGTAATTTACGTTTATGATTATTGTCGGCTGATTTATCGGAGAATCAGCATAACAAGTTTGTAAAGTACGTTTGAATATATATATGTATATATATACATGATACATAAATTTGATATGTCAAATAGAGATTAAGCTTCATCATTTCCTTTATAATTACAATGAGACCAAACGTCAATCATAATCTTGATGATTATTGAAATGATTATTATTATTGACGAATTGAGATAACTTTCTTAGTTTATACATATGAGAGATTCTTTTTCAATCGCCCCAGCCCAAAAAGTCAATGTTCTGGGATTGGCTTCATACTTTGGTAAATTGTTGTCCTATATGATAGTAATAAATCCCTAAAATATAAACTAATTAAAAAAATATTTGTAGAAAGTAGAGGGGGTTGAAGTTTTGACGTTAAGGGTAACATTGTCATTTTCAAATCCGTTTAACTATGACAAAAGTTAATGGATTTTAATTTATCTATAATGAATTTTATTGCATTTTTCACGTACTTTTCAAAAATGTATACAAAATTTAAAAAAAAAAATTTTTAACCCCTTTTTTTTCAAAATCAACCCTTATTTTTCGATTTTCACCCCTTCGGGTATTTTTTTTTTTTTTTTTTATTTATTTTCATTGGAAAGCTGAGGTTTTTTCCGATGAGCTATGTAAATATGAAAATGGGACAACAATAATTTTGTGTGAAACAGAATATTAAAGTAGGTGGTGCCGATAAGGGGTGTACCTGGAGATCATCTTTGAGGATTTAGATAGGCACCGCCTAATTTAATATTATGTTTCTCACAAAATTATTGTTGTCCCATTTTCATATTTACATAGCTCATGGGAAAAAACCTCAGCTTTTCAATGAAAATAAAAAAAAAAAAAAAAAAATTCCCGAAGGGGTGAAAATCGAAAAATAAGGGTTGATTTTGAAAAAAAGGGGTCAAAAATTTTTTTTTTTAAATTTTGTATACATTTTTGAAAAGTACGTGAAAAATGCAATAAAATTCATTATAGATAAATTAAAATCCATTAACTTTTGTCATAGTTATACAGATTTGAAAATGACAATGTTACCCTTAACGGCACCCTTATCGGCACCGCCTACTTTAATATTCTGTTTCACACAAAATTATTGTTGTCCCATTTTCATATTTACATAGCTCATCGGAAAAAACCTCAGCTTTCCAATGAAAATAAAAAAAAAAAAAAAAAAATACCCGAAGGGGTGAAAATCGAAAAATAAGGGTTGATTTTGAAAAAAAGGGGTTAAAAATTTTTTTTTTAAATTTCGTATACATTTTTAAAAAGTACGTGAAAAATGCAATAAAATTCATTATAGATAAATTAAAATCCATTAACTTTTGTCATAGTTAAACGGATTTGAAAATAACTATGTTACCCTTAACGTCAAAACTTCAACCCCCTCTACTTTCTACAAATATTTTTTTAATTAGTTTATATTTTAGGGATTTATTACTATCATATAGGACAACAATTTACCAAAGTATGAAGCCAATCCCAGAACATTGACTTTTTGGGCTGGGGCGATTGAAAAAGAATCTCTCATATATATATGTCGTAGGCAAATAGAAGAATCCGGCAGTAAGCCTACTGCCTAGGCAGTAAGCTTACTGCCGGCAATTAAAGGAAATCGTTCAGATTCTTCTATTTGCCTATGGAGTAGGCTTACTGCCGGGCAGTAGGCTTACTGCCCGATGAAGATTGGGCATATAGACAACTCGCATCAGCATCCCCAATGTGTGATTGACATAAGTGCATTACAGTAATAATAATTTAATAAATACGGAGAAATTAAATTGAAAGATGAAGTAAAATATAAATTTATGAAGAAATATAATACCTACTGTTTTTTTACTTCATTTGAAAATTGTCATAAAATAAATAAAGAAAATAAATGAAATAAAAACTACACTTTTATTAATTATTTTATAGGTTTAAGAGAAATTCAAGAAATTAATTTTCATTGTAATATATTTTGGCTATTTATACTTAAGAAATAACATTGTATAACATGTGTTTATGAGTAAGTGTCAGCCAAAAGTCGCGATTCAAAACAATTATTTTAATTATATACTATAGCTATATTTTCCTCGTTTAGTATTTACAGTGTTAAATTACTGTAACTCTATTCTAATTCATAACGAGTGAAAAATTTTGTATTTACAATTCGCAAATGTCTAAGAACCGTTGAAGTAGAAAGTAGTAACTTTATGTACATTTTTATTTGTTAACCTTCTATTATTTTATTATTAATTATAATAATAATGGATGTCAGTTCAGTGAATCGTTGTGAATTTGAAAAACAATGTAAAAGTAAATTTGAAACTCAAAAAGGAAACAGATCCATGTGGGACAGAGAACAATATGAAAAAGTGAAAACAATTTTGATTAGTGGAAGTGAAAAAAATACTAAAAAATACTATCACTATTCAAAAATGTATGAAATCGTGCAGATTGGTTCTGAGTGCAATTTAATTTTAAAAAGGAGTAGTGGAAGTGACGATCTTGTTTATATGGTCCCGTTTGAAGAATATTATACAAAACTAATGGAAGCACATACTCAAACTGGGCATGGGGGCCGTGACAGGATGATATACTATATGAAAAAAAAGTGGCGCATCCCCAGAAATGCTTGTGAAATATTCAACAATTTATGTGAAACTTGTAATCTGAAGAAATCAAGTAAAAGGAAAGGTGTAGTTGTCAAACCAATTATTTCGCATGGTTTTAACGCACGTGGTCAAGTTGACCTGATTGATTTTCAGTCTTGTCCGGATGGAGAATACAGATGGCTCATTAACTACCAAGATCATGCCACAAAGTTTTTACACCTTCGTCCTATCAAGTCAAAACATGCATCTAATGTCGCAAAAGAATTATCAAAAATTTTCTTCACTTTTGGGGCACCGGCCATATTGCAGAGCGACAATGGTAGAGAATTTACTGCCAATGTTATCCGCGAGCTCGTTTCTATTTGGCCCCATAGTAAAATGGTTCATGGACGACCTCGTCATCCACAAACTCAGGGGAGCGTTGAGCGCGCTAATGCCGACGTCGAAAACATGCTGCGGGCATGGATGGTCGACAAAAAATCAAATGAGTGGGCACGAGGCTGTTATGAAGTTCAGGTAATTTTTCTATTTTTATTTACAAAAACTTAAATAAATTAAAAAATTTTAAATAAGCTATAAATCATTGTTTTCTCATTTTTATTTCAGTGGCTAAAAAACACTTCAAAGCACCGCATAATTAATAGAGCTCCATACGAAGCCATACTTGGGCCAATAAGGAATGGTTTAGCATGTTTTAATCTACCTGACAGTGTGACAGAAAATTTAGAAACAGAGGAAGATTTAGAAAATGCTCTTTCCAGTTTCAAAGAACTCCATGCCAATCAAGAGGACCTATCATCTTCAAGTTCACAAACCTACGAAGAAAATGGGACTGAATCAAGAGCACAGGGTCAAATACAAAAATTTTGCGGTATTTGTGAAACACCAATGGAAGTAAAAGACACCGTTTCTTGTATGGAATGCGATGCTGAATTTCATTTTCAATGCGTGAATCAAGTTGCTGCAGATAAATTTATTTGTTTACTTTGTGCAAGAGGGAAACACCTACTCGATGCCCAAGAAGACTGCAACAAAAGGCAAAAAATTGCAGCTGAGAAAATGGTAACATTTTCTCAAGAATTGTTTCCGCCACTTTCTATCGGAGATTGTGTTACCATAACAATTCCTTCTGTTGATCGAGGGCCTTTAGATTTCGGGAAAATCTTTGGAATTATCACGGACTTCAAAAATGGAGTATATCAAGTAGGAACTGAGAATGGAGTGATCAACGTCTGGTTTCCTAGGACCGAAATTGAAAAATCAGGAGCTGCTGTGATGCACCTTCAAGACGTTCAAAGAGATATTTCCATTTCTCTTCGAGAAGCTGCATCTTATCAATCCAGCGGTGGAGGTCAGGGCTACAAAAAATGTAATTGTATGGCTACAAAAAGTCAATGCTCCACGAAACGCTGTTCCTGCTTCAAGTCAAAAATTAAATGTGGTTCACGGTGCCACAATGCAAATCCATGTAATAATAAATAATAATAAATATTTGTTGAAAATTGACAATTTTAAAAAATACACTTCGTCGACGTAACTTCAATTTTCAGAAGTTTAATTAATAAATAAACAAAATAATTAAGAAAAGTGTAGTTTTTATTTCATTTATTTTATTTTAAAAACAGTAGGTATTATATTTCTTCATAAATTTATATTTTACTTCATCTTTCAATTTAATTTCTCCGTATTTATTAAATTATTATTACTGTAATGCACTTATGTCAATCACACATTGGGGATGCTGATGCGAGTTGTCTATATGCCCAATCTTCATCGGGCAGTAAGCCTACTGCCCGGCAGTAAGCCTACTCCATAGGCAAATAGAAGAATCTGAACGATTTCCTTTAATTGCCGGCAGTAAGCTTACTGCCTAGGCAGTAGGCTTACTGCCGGATTCTTCTATTTGCCTACGACATATATATACGTATACGTATATATATATATACTTAATACCCTCAAGAGTTTTTTTTACTCGAGCTAAATATAAAGTTTGTATGTAAATTAAATAAAAAAAATAATTTATGACTGAACTTAGATTGTGAAAATTCAAAATGGCGGATCCAATATGGCGGACAGTTTTTTAAATTCGTTTAAAATTTTTTACTCGGGAATTATTTTCACAGTCAGAGTACTATAAAAAAAATGTATTTTCGTTTCGAATATAACCTCTACTTGAATATTGTCAAATAAATATTTATTTGTATTAAATAATAATCATTATTTGAGTCAATTAAATGGTATTTGTTTCAAACACAGAAATTATTGATTCAAATACAGTTTATTTAATTCAAATAAAAATTGTTTATAGTTGAAGTAAATATTTATTTAATAATAGTCAAGTAACCGCAATTTTATTGAATCAAATAAATTTTTTTCAGTGTGCCATGTTAATTTAAATTTAACATTAAATTTGTAATCGCATCCATAATGGATCCGCCATTTTGCATTTTCAAAATTTAATGCTAAACTTATTAGCTTATGAACTATACCAGATATATAAACTGAAATTAATATTGAAATAAAATATTAAAAGTTCATTTAAAAATTAAAAATTTTGAAAAAAGTAAAAATAAGATATCAATTTCTGTGATTAATATATATTATTATTATAAATATAAAATACTAACCTTAATGTTTGCGGATAAGAAAAACCAATGTGAATTTTCTATATAATATACGTGTCTCGCCGAATGACACCTTCATGCTCTATTTATATGACTATTATAATCTCTCGCAACAGATTGATGAAAAATTAAAAATCCAAATGTCAAATCACTGCTGACCCAGACGACGTCAATCTAAAAGGAGATACATATATATATACATATATGATATATAAACTATATATATTTTCATATTTAACATACTAATCTAGAATTCTAATATTTCACTGACAAATGAGATAAAAAATTACAGATGATCTATTGCATGTTACATTATTATCCAATATTCAGTGACCTAAATTCATTTATCTTTTCAGCACAATGATTGCAATATTAAAATGCTTATCATATATATATATATATACTCGAGTTGATAAAAATATAAAAGATTCATCGAGAATATATGTGTGCGCTTTATAAAAGAACATATACGTATATTATTGTAATAAAAGTTCCTATTTTTGAATCCTTAGAAAATGTATAAGATTATAACTTAAATGATTTCAAAGATTTATTGAAATTGAAAGATATTTTTAGTGCAGCGCGCTATATAGAACTTGATAAATTTTTTAATGACATTTGTAAATTTTTTAAGCGCGCACAAAAATCGTTTAAATAATTTACATATATGAGAAAAAAATTTTTGTTCAATCGGACTATTAATATCTCTTAAAAATACAAAATATGTCATTTTTGTTATACTTAAAATATAAATTTTTATGAATAGGAAACGATTTAGGTAACATAACCTAAAAACATTATTTTTAGGTTATGTTACTTAAACCATTATTTCGCCATTACTAATATAATATAAAAATATTTTTAATAATAATAAAACATTATTTTTAGGTTATGTTACCTAAATCGTTTCCAATGTATAAATATTGAAGCGAATTACTTATTTGATGAAGTATATAGAGAGAGACTTTTATAGTAGAGGGAGAGAGATGTGATGAGACGCTCGAATAGAGAGGTAGTGGGAATTATTACACTGAAAGAAAATTCATACTACTAAGTATTAAACTCATATTAGAGTTTAATATAAATGTTACAATTTAGGGAAAAAGTGCACCTATATTGATTACTATTACAGTTTTTATGAAAATATATAATGAATTTAAGAGTAACTATTATTTTAAGAAATAAGAATTAGTATATTTATTTTAAAAATTAGTATTTTCTTTATGAATTCACAGAATACGAAATATTATAATAAATAATTTCACAAAATAGTAAGAAAAATAACATATATCCGTATACTTATTTCACATTTTGTAAAACTTTATATTAAAAGTCACGGATTTTCCCGAGAGACTACGAATTTAACCGAAGTTCTGTCTGTTTGCGGCTTCGTGTCCTACTCGAACTTCTACGACTTGATCCGATCTTCGAAAGTGTTGTTAACCAGCAGAACGTACCTATCAACTGTCAACACACGTGTTTCAAATGTTTATAGTGTTTTAAATTCTTTTTAATTTAAATTTATTTTCAATTTATAAAAAATGTTTTATTAAAGTTATTTAATAATAATAAATTTATTATTAATTATTAAATTTATTATTATTTTTATTAATTTTTATTTTTTGATGTCATCTTTACAATTATTTAATTTTTATTTGCAATAAAAATTTTTATAACAATCATAATTTTTAATCTGAAAAAAAAGAAAAATCTATATATAGACAATTAATAATAAAAATGAACCCAGCGTAACCTCTATAAAATTACACCATTGGCACTAGTAAACTATTTTTTATTATTAAGTTATTATAAGTAAACTTCTTTCTCGCAAGTGGTAAAAATATTCAGTAGTTAGTATATAAGAAAACGATATATGCCGACCCCCAGCGAAATTTATCGTTATGCGTATAGAATTGTAAGTGTAGGTTTCGTTGCGATCGTGTAATGTCTATGTATAAGCGAAATGAACGTGCGTGTTCATTAGTATGTGTATTAACCTGTATCGTAAGTGTGAATGTGTTGTTCCTAGTCTCACTCCTCTTCCTCCCGAGAATTAACGGAAACGTCCGACAGTTTCCGCTTTTTTTCCCTTTTCTTCCGACATTCTCAATTTTTCGTATAAAGTTTTACAAATATTAGAACGCTACATTCCATATAATGCAACAACTCTATGAGAATTTAATATAATATTTTCAAATATTGGTAATCTTTTTACGTTCTTTCTACAATAATTATTAATATTTGAAAAAAGATTTTAAGTTGGAACTTTAATATAAAGTATATTGAATTTTAATAAAAAGTACACTTTTCCCTAAATTCTAAAAGAATATATTAAAATGTAATACGCATTTTGTTATTTTTTCCTATGAAATTTCTTTCAGTGTACCCGCCAATTCATCTAATTCGGAAACTTTCGTAGAAATACGAATCCCTGCGAAAGGTTTCTTATATAATTTTATTCTCATGCGTTTTCCACACTATTATAATTAACCTCGAGATTGACTTATCGCTGCACGATAAGCGCGTCGCCGACGACCTTATAGGTATGTCTCAAGTGTCATTTTGGTGCATTTGTAATATAAAAGTATGTGATTTTGTTCAATTATTGAAAGAAATATGTTGTAAATTTTTATAGTGTGGCGATTTTTAAGGCCAGGTCCAAGTCGTGTCAGATGTTCCATTGAAACTTTAAAGGAACAGCTGACTCGACTTGGACCTGGCCTTAAGTGGTTCTTTTCCAATGTAAAAGAGGTTTTGTTCCTCGCCTCGTGGTCACTCCAATGGCTTGTATTCTAAGTGTCCGGACCATTCATTTGCAAGTGGAGTATTTGACTAACGAAGTCCGTGATTCGCTATTCTGCATTTGGGGGATAATCTCTTTATACTCTAAGGAAGCGATAAGTCCATATTTTATATCACATTGTATTTGTCTCTAAATTGTCTATATCTCTCTCTACATCTAAATTATTATTATATCTACATTCTATTTAATAATTAAATTTGCATGATGAGCTCATCTATAATAAATAATATGACCTGATTGATATTTGCTTTATTTGGGAATGAAATGTATAAAATTATTTGCGATTGTATGACTGTATTAAGGACTGATTTATTTAATATATTATATATATATATATTTCTATGATTTTTGAATTTAATTTGTATTTTGTATATTCGTGACCTTTTATTTATAAATGTTCATTTATTGTGACGTCTTTCAGATAAAGAAAATTGTTACAATATATATATGAGAGAAACATGCGCATGGCGCCTCCATTGCAAGGTTGCCATAACCTATAAAAACTTGTAATTTTGATTAAAATGCAATTTCTAATTGTTTAAAATTTTACCGAAACTTTTTTAAAATTTATTAATTTATCACTGAGAAAAATTTTTAGTTAGCGAGTAACCAAAATTGGGTTACGCCAACAAAAAAATTTTGTTGGTATTTAAGCAACCAAACTATTTGTTTGAGTCAACCAAAAAATTTGGTTGAGTGTTTTTTTGTTGGCATAACAAAAATGTTTACTTTTTCTTTTGTTCATTTTATAATATTCTGAAATGAAGGCGCAATATTTGGCCTAAAAGTTCTATTATTTAACAAAATTTAAAGGGCCCATTACTAACCAAAGTAGTGTCTAGGACGGTCATTTTTGGTACTATTTAATTATTTTTCATAATTTTGACAATTCATCAATTGGTCGGTCGGTAATTTATGTGCAAATTGCGGTAGTACCGAAGGGCGATTCACGATTTGCCGCCAACTCATCCCCGTGTACCTGCTCAGCGGCAAATTTTCGTCCCCGAATGTTCACCCACTACCGGCCGTACTGTACCCCGCTCCGTTCAGTCTGA